ACACACACACACACACACACACACACACACACACAGCAAAACTCATACAAATCCCAGCCCCTTCTCCCTTCCCTGTCAAAAATATTCTTCACCTATTGAAACAATAAGGTTTCTTAAGTATCTCAATAACATTTTTAACTGTGTTTAATGTGAACTATTTAAAAAGTTTCAGTTATAAAATGAATTCCCTCTAAACAAAAATAGCTGTAGAATTCTGCACAACTGGCTGCCTTCTAGATACAGTATAACACTATTATATTCCCTTCAAAAAAAAAGAAACAAGTATATTACCTTGAACTAGAGGAAGAGAAGTATGAATCATCCCCTTCATCGACGTATTTTTTCTTTGTTTTTGCAACTGTGGGTGTTTCTTGCTCTATCGTTTGCATGTCTGAGACAACAGAATGAGAAACGCCACTGCAGAAAAAAAAAGGAACTCGTAAAGCAGACACTAGCTACAAATCAAGCAAAGTACAATCTCTGATTTTATGAAGGTCTCAGGTAACATTCAAAACGTACAAATAATTGCGGCTTTTGAACAAATGGAACCTCTGACATCTGTATTTTATAGAATTTTTACCTCTGCCAAGCAGATTTCAGAACCGACCATCTCAATTGATTCTAAAGCATGCCAACATGGTCTCTCATGGAGCTCAGTTAAAATATTTCAGCTGGGTTTCCTACAAACAGCTAACTATGGTCAAAATTTAGTGCAGAGGCACTATGCAACTGCAGTTCACTGGCTGTTTTAGTTAAACTGAAACATGCTGCACATTAGGTAGAATTTATTATACCCCACAGATCAATAAATGCACCATCTTGGCTCCAACAATGGTGTATGCTATTAGAAACCTTCTCTAACGCACTTAAATCGACCACACATTTTGATTTCCTTCCTGAGCAGCAGAGATCCTGGCTTTCTCTGATAAAATAAATAAATAAATAAATCACAAATTCTCTGAAGAAAAAATAAAATAATAAAATCGCAAATTTCCAACACCTCCCCATTGAGAATCCTCTAACCAGTCTAGGAGTGTTCACCACCCACAACACACGACTCACTGGACATGCAACTGCCAGAAAGTATAGCAGTAAGCATCATTTCCATGGGAATTGTTTTGTGCTTTCACATCATTTC